TCTGCTCAGCAAGTTGAACAGGGTTTTGTTCCCATAGGAAGAGTGAGCCCTCTTTTCTTTGCTATTTTCTCCATTTTCTCAACAAGGCCACCTTCCTCCCTCACCCCATTCATCCACCTTAGAAGCTGACAATGACTGCTGGGTTATTTCAATGGGCACCAGAGCACCATTTCCTGCAGCCCACAGGGAAGACAGAATAATTGGTTGGCAGCAAGAGCTTAGTGTGGGTAAGAAGAGCAGAATGCTTTCCTATATGCAGCCCTCTTCTTCCCTCTTTTCTCAATATTCCCCTCTCCAGCCCTGCCCTCCTCCCACCTCCCTAATCTCACCCATGCTGTTCTAATTTCTACTCTTCTCTTCCCAGAAATTCAGGGGAGCCTAAGGATTCCTCAGGAAGGACTCCTCTGGCACTAGCGCTTCATTGTCTGCTCCACTGGGAAGTAATCAGCTTCCAGAAAGTTTGAGAGATTGCATTTCAGCAAGAGGGCCTCCTCAAATCAGTTTAGAGGGATGGTCTGTAGTAAGTTGGCAAACACCATTTCTGTGACCCATGGGGTATCTGAATACTTGCCATTGCCCCTTGTGAGTTCAGGGTTGTCAGCTGTGGGCATGTAATAAGTTTGTCCAGAAGGAAAAGTAAATCTTGCTGTTTAAGTATCTACCAAAAAGATGCTGCTTCTCAAACCATCCATCTCCCCCACCAATTCTTTCCCTTCTCTTTTTCTTTTCTTTGCTTACTCTACCTTCCTCTAAAATAGGGTTCCTCTCTAGTTGGATTTTCTTTCTATTTTCTTTTTTCTTTTTCTCAGGCCAAACAGGAACCTGAAGAAGAGGTAGTGATGGTGGTAGTCCAAAGGAGGAGCTTTACCCTGTGCTGTACCCACAGGAGACAAACAACATCTTTGCCCTTGCTGGAGGGAATGTTAGCGCGGCCTAGATGCTTTCTCAGTCACCTCCTAGGTACAGGTTTATTCTCCAGGCCTACTACAGCTTGGTCCCCCCACCTTTAGCCCCCAAACCCTCAGTGATTACTTCCACTACCCCCTGTGCCCCCATGGCAGGTCCCTACAGAAGCAAAACATAGTCACCTTAGACTCTGGCTTACTGAGACGAGGCCCTGATATTATCAGCCTCGCCTGCCCACCAGTGTACTATTTAATAAAAATATTGTTAAAGAACATTCATGGGTATAAAGTACTATATATTTGTTGTTTGAAATGTAGCATCAAATTGCATTCCTGCAGCTTTCCCCTTATTCACTCCTTCCTGAGACCCCAAAGTTAGGGAGAGACTGAGAACGAAGGTTGTTATTAGTCCATTTGGGGATATTATAATGAAACTGAAGAGGCAGGTTACTTTATAGGAAAAGAGGTCTGTTTAGCTCACAGTTTGGGAAGCTGAAAGTCTTGAGATTAGGTGACCCCGTTAGTTCAGCCTCTGGTGAGGGTCTCATGATGGATAGCATCATGGCAGGAGATCTTCTGAGAGGGAGAGATACCAGACAGAAAGCCAAACAGCAGGGTGGGCCAGGGTGCTCTTTTTATTGAAAAGTAACTCGGCATCCTGTATGAACTGCCTTAATCCTTTGGGACCCCATGCTCTAGAAGTTGTATCACCTGTCACATCACCACACTGAGGGCCAGGCCCCCAATATATGAGCCCTTGAGAAGAAACCACTCCAAACCATAGCAGAAGTAAAGTTAGGGAAAGTGTGATGATGCCATTTCTCAAGAGGGTAACCGTGAACTATACTGCACACTCACGGGCTGGGTGTTTGGGAGCACAGGTGCTCCTATTCCCCCAACTAAGAAAATGGCTTCCTTGGGCACAGGATACATGACTCAAGGAGAGAGCATTTCTCTACTCCTAGAACATCATGTAACAAGCATCCACATGTAAGAAGGCTCTTGGTTTTATTTATAGTAAAAACCCTAAAAGAGTTACATTTAGGTTGGTTCATGTGGAGAACTATTATGCAACTGTTAAAAATACAAAGGTTTTTTGTGATGAGAAGAAAAAACATCCCAGAACTATGTGCAGTATGTTCATAATCTTTTAAAAAGTCTCTGTGTCAGGAGCTGCCCTGAATGAACACACCTTTAAGTCCTGATACAGGGGGCTCTGACCAGTTGCTACATTTTGTAGTGACTTGGGCTTTATCCCAGCTCAGATAACAAGGCACTGCTCCAGGTGTAGGCATACCTGCTGGGGTTGAGTTACACTCACCTGTTCCCTTGTAATCCTACCCCTTGTGCCTTTTTGGGATAGAATGTTCCATGGAACCTCCCTCTATGTGTACCCTATATGAGAATAAAGAATTCCAGTGGCTGTCTTTTTCCACGGACCCTTAAGTTCGCAGAGTCATCCCCCAGTTATTGAAAAGTACTTCTGTGTGGTTACATGCTTTCTTTGTTGTTTTCTTAAGTTATTGGAATAGTCATATTTTGTGAACCCAGCATTAGGTCCCCAGCTAGGATAGATGACTATATCTGTGTGCTTTGGAACTTACCAGAAAGATACCAAAAATTCCAGAAGTCAGAAGTATGCTGATTTTTATTTTGGTATTTATTTATTTACTATTCATTGCATACATGTATTATAACCCCAACTTGTAAAACTAGTTGATTCTTCCCTGTTGAAAATGAAGACGGAAGTGAAACTGGCCCATTGACAGTGGAGTTGGAAGGTCCTCGTGGGAGCCAGATCCTACAGTCCTGCCAGTTGTTGGGAAGATACATATTTAGACTTAGCTGGAGAGCTACCTTGGAGGACAAGACAGGCTGCTCCTCCCTCACCTGATCCCCACTCACTTCCTTTCTCTTACAACTTTGTGCCATCGTCATGACAAGCTCCCAAAGGACAAAAGACCTGGATTCAAATTTTGACCCTAATACCGCCTAGGTAGGTGACTGGGCAAATTATTCAATTTTACCAAGCCTTAGCCCATGCACCCAGAAGATGCAGAGAAGAATCCCAAATTGATCATGCCCAGCTACTCATACCTCGAGCCTTGGCAATTGGTTTTCCCTCTTTCTGGGATGCCATTCCCCTAGATTTCTGTGTCATTTGGATCACAGATGTTACCTCCCCACAAAGTTCTTCCTTTGGTGCCTCTCCATAATATTTTTCTATTTTATTTTTGCAGAGAATTGATCCCTAACTAAAACTATACATGTGCCTGCCTGCTTATTGTCTCCTAGAAATTAAATTCTTCAGGAGCAGTGATCTTGTGTCTTGAACACATTGCCTAAAACACTGCCTGTCGCTAATTAAATGAGTCAGGCGCTGCGATATATTTTCACCATGTTTTCTTATTTAATCTTCCCAAGAACCTCCGGTGGTTTCCATATGAGGGCAAGATCAAGAACAGAGAGGTGAAGAAGAAGTGGCAGAGCCTGAATCAGAACTAATTCCAGAATCGCTGTCCACTTTGCAACCCCTCCCCCTGAGGCAGCTGACAGGAGGCCTGTTTTGAAGAGAGGACTGGAATAGTTCAAGGGCAGCACAACAGGAACATTCAGGACTGGTCTCTAGTGGAGAAAATTCAGAATAGTAAACAGTGAATAAAATATGGTCGTGGGAAGTAGAGGGATGGAGAACTGGAGGGTTGGTCATAATTCAGCATTTGAGACTATTTTATAAGCTTCTGATCTCTTTTATGTATTCCAGAAATAGAAATTAAGCACCCCTTTTGGGCTTGGGTTGTTTCGGACCTTCCCGGGGTTGGTTTTTCCTTGCCTTTCGTTGACCCCTTCTTGGTTGCCGGTGTGGATCAGGGCTCGCCCAGCCTAGTGGGTTCTGTTCTTGTCCCCCTGGTGTCCTGGGTAACTGGTTAGTAGGGGCTACCTGTCCTGAGCAGAGGCAGATGGGAGATTTCAGTCATTATTAAGGTTTATTGACCAGCACGGCTGGAATTTCCCAGAGAGAGGAATTAATCTCGCTGCCGACTGAGCGCAGACATCCTGCTGGGAGTAGTTACATAAATTCTGTTGCTCAAATTAATTAGGATTGTGATTCATTTGTTTAATGAGGAAGAATCTGATGGTGGCAAGAGGACAACCAGCCTGCCCTTTCAGAAGGCAGCCAATCCCAGGACCAGGAGGCAGGCAGGAGGACTGAGGCTGGAGCAGGGCTCTGCCCAGCATGGCCGGCCCGGGCCAATCAGTAAGAGGAGTGGACTGGAGACAGCCAATCAGAACGCAGTACTGGTTTAGAAGCAGGTGCGAGGCTCCGGAGTTCTGCAAACCTCACGCTGGTGAGGTCTCGCAGGCTCGAGAGCGTGGAAGCCTGCTCAGCTTTGTCCAGTGTCTTCCACCCTCCTCTTTTTCTTAGCTCTGGAGAAAAATTGCTAACAGCTGAAATCACCTCATTAGCCCTCTGGGAAGTCATCCGTCAGTTTCCTCCTATCCCCTCAAATGCCAGATTTTATTATTTGCAGGAAAAGAGGGTTCGTTTAATAAAGCAAAGACCTATTGCCTGAAGCATATAGAAATATTCTTCACTCACTCCCTCTTCGACTTACAGACTCTCCCTTCTACCCAGAATGTCCCTACAGCCTGTTAAAGGCAAACCCCAAACTCCACCACTGCGGCCTTCACACTCTCTGGAAGGCTGGTGTCTTAGCCTGGCTCTCCTTTGCAGTAACACAGGTAAGAGTCGGGGTGGTGGCTGGCTGAGGGTGGCTGAGGTGAGAATGGAGAGAAGCAGAAGCTGCACAACTCAAGGGGACAGGATTGATACAGTCTATGTGAATAGTGCTTTTGGGATAGAAAAAGTGCATCCTAGCAGTGTGCTTCCTGGTGGCCCTGGAGAAAAGGGGTCCAAGTCAGGAAATGTTTGGAGGCCGTCTGAAGGATTTGATGATGAACCTGATGCTGGAGAAGAATAACAGAGACTAATGTAAACTTCAGGACTTGTGGGGCTGGGGCTCAGTGGTAGAACACTTGCCTGGCATGTGTAAGGCACTGGGTTCGATTCTCAGCACCACATAAAAATACATAAAATAAAGGTATTGTGTCCCTCTACAACTAAAAATATTTTTAAAAATAAAACAAAAAACCTTCAGGACTTGTTTATTCACCTTCATTTGTTTTCTTTCTGGGACCCTACCTCTTATTTGGACTGACTGTGGCACAAATAGGGCAACATGAGCTGGGCATGACAGGGCTTTTTATGAAGCAAGGATATTGCAAGGGCTTGCGTTTTGCCCTTTTTCAAAGACTGGCCCTGGAAGTTTCCCCCAGAGCTCATCCAGTTATGCAGACTTAAAGAATGGTAGGCATGAAGGAGCACTGACCTGGGAACCAGAAGTCCAGGACAGAGTAACCTGGGACAGCTCTTCTTGGCATTCTGGAAAGGCACCTGCCGTCTCCTGTGGGGAGACTGAACTCCACTCTGGCTCCCCATGCCGACCTCCCTTCAGTGGTCAGGAAGGTCTTCCTTCAGTGTGGGTCAGATCATCTCACTGTCCACGCTCTAACCCCCTGCAGAGACTCCCCAGCACACTCAGGATTATAGATAAATACATAAACCCCCGCCTGAGGAGACCTGGGTGATCTGGCCTTACCCTCCTCTAAGACCTCTTCCTCCGCACCCCTCCCTGACCCCACTCTGTCCACTCCAGGGTCCCTTCTGGTCCTTGAGTACAAATCTGGCCCTCCATAAAGCTCTGCACACTGACTGGTCTCTTCCCCATGTTATGGATTGGGTATGGGTAGTGTCCCCAAACGTCCGTGTGTTAGAGGCTTGGTCCCTCAGGTGGTACCATTGGGAGGAGCTGTGGACCTGCAGAGGTGGAGTCCTGTGGGAGGTCCATAGGTCCCGAACCTTGATGGGAGTCATGGGAGCCTGGCCCACCCCCCTCTTTCTGCTTCCAGGCTCATGGGGAGTGGTTTGCTCTGACATGTGTTCTCACCAGACACCCAGTTCCCTCACCAGAGGCCCAACGCATAGGAGCTGTCCAATCCTGGACAGCTAAAAAAAAAATAAAGTATTTTCTCTTTATAAGTTAATGCTTCAGGTATTTCATTGTGTTGGCAAACCAGCTGATAAACCCTGGAACTTTAGCTCCTCACATGGGTAGAGAGTTATTTCTTTCTCTGCTTAAATTCCCTCTTCTTGGAGCGAACTTTATAACTACCCAACCTAAAGTCACCAGGCTCCTTCTGTTATCCTAATTTTCA